GGACCATCTCGTTGAAAAGAGGGGACAAGGAGTTATGGTTTTTGCAGGAAGACCAAGACCTGGCTGTAATCCAGCAAGTCGCTCACTGAATCTCTCCCTTCTTGGAACCAAGATCTGCCCCCAACTGGCTGCACCAGCGTGGCCTGTGATGCCCACCGAGGAATGGCCTCTGCTTCTCTTTTATGCTGAATGTGGAGCACAGGTCACATTTCCGAGGGAGGCCATAGATACCTGGTGTTTTCTTATTTTGTTTGAATTTCCTCATTTTCCTATTGTTGTTTCCATCATCTTGCTTTCTTCGGGGGCTTTTTGTAATGACTTCGCACAGCTCATACCTTCCTGCTGGCATATCTGTAATCGGTTTTGCAGAGCTGCCGATGTTCTTAAACTGAAAGTAATCTGGTTTGCCATACATACAATAGGGACCTTGGCGCTTTGGGGGTTTTTGTAGGGGAAAGGGAACGAGTGTTTATTTAATAATTACCCATCTTAAATCTTTAGGAGTTGGGAGCAGTTTTGTGTTCAAGGAATAAGAAAAGCTGAAAAACATGTTTTAAATCAGTTCTTTTAAAATATAGTTCTTTTGTGTAAATAAAATATCACAGGCTTTGACTTCTCATACATTACTTTTAAACCTGAGATTCCACCCCCCCCACACACACACACACACACACTTATTTTATTTAATCGTATCATGTCTTATGGAAATGTCTTCTTCCATCTTTTCTCTTTGCTGGTATTTGCCTGATTAAATAGTGCTCTAAAAATCGCTAAGACATGGGAAGGCTCAAAATTGCACTCAAAGCTGATAACATACGGAGTGCTTGAGCAGAGTGAAAGATAGGATCAATGAGAGCCAGCAGCGCCCATCAGATTCCCCCATTCTTAGCAGGAGTGATGAGTTGAAGAACTTGCTGATCATTGTTACCAGCCTCGGAGCAGTTGTAATCTTCCTCGGCTGCACATTGGAGTCACCTGGGAAGCTTAAAAAAATACTGATGTTTGGGTCTCACCCCCAGAGAATAGGCCAGAATACAATCTAGTTATGGGATTTCCTTTCAAAGAGTCCCTGGGATTCTGATAGGAAGCCAAGTGAAGAACCACTGCATTAGGAAACTGGATGATAGGATTTTAAATCCTGTGAAGGAAATCAGTCTAAGGATTGGGATTGGGGGCTTTGCCTTTCCTTTGACTCTATTTAGTCACAGCCCTTTGCTCATGCCTTTAGCTTGGTTAGAAAAGTATGTTCCATTTGGGATCCTATCGGTAGAGCTGAATGTGGGTGGCATTGATTATCAAAATAATTCTGCCTTATAGCTGTGCAAAAGTTTTCACTCTTGTTCTAAAATAAACTTTTAAAAAAGAAGAAGAAGAGAAAAAGTTTTATATGCAGAGCTCCAAGCAAGTACAAGGATTTGGTCATAGTTTTGTTAAAGAAAACTCTGCCGTGATATGTGCACAGAATGCAGAACTTGTTAGGCTGTGCCAGGCAGTCTCATCTCACCCCCTTGCCCAAGGACATTGCTATAAGGTTATTAGTTGTCCCAAAGGACCACAGGTAACAGTATTTCTCCCACTAAAAAAAAAAAAAAAAAAAGAAACAAGTCTGGGATTTATCTTAACTCCTTTGGTTAGTTTCCTGAATTTTCATCTTCTTGACCCACACAAAACAACACATGTTCCTGAACTACCTCTGTGTGATTTGGGTCTCTCTCTCTCTCTCTCTTCCTTCTCCTCCTCCTACTCCTTTTTCCTACCTCCCCCATTTCTCAACTCTAGCTAGAACTTGATGTTTTAAAATTCTCTAAGAACAAACTTTAAAGGAGACTTTTAGTTTAGTAATGTAGCTCAGTTGAAGATAGCTCCATGGTGGAGAAAATTAGGGAAGGCGGAGAGGGGGTGCAGGCCGGGGAGGGTGCAGGGGACTACATCTGAGTCACATGTAGTGTGACTTTTTCATAATCCCAAAGGGATTTTCCATTGACTTCATCCAAATAATGTCCCCAATCGATTCACGTGTGAGATGGGAAAGCGATGCCCTTCTGCTGGCTGCACCCTGACAGCGGCAGTGAAGTCAGGTGCGGTTGGAAGATAATGAGAGAACCTCTTCTCCGCGCCCCATCCCCCGACAGATCCATCTCTTTACCCTTCCCAAATTTATTTAGGGGGTTTCATTTGCAATGACTGTACATAATACTGATATTGGAATGAAAATTAAGACGAAACCTTTGTACAATTTGCACCACTTTGCAAGGAGAGGCAGGAGTCTTAAGGCTGGACCTGCACTGATTGTGGCTATTTTTTTTTTTAATTGATTTTAAAGAGGAACATACTGGGGATCAAGCCCGCAACCCAAGCATGTGCCCTGACCAGGAATTGAACCTGGTTCATAGATCAACACTGAGCCACGCTGGCCGGGCCAGATTGCTACTACGGTATTGACTCCAGGTCCAAATGAGTTGGCACATTTTTGCAGTATGCCCAGAACACCTTGTGAGATTCAGAGTCTTTAATAGTAGCAGCATTTCCATCTCATTACCTGACTATAACTCCCTACCCCCAAAAAAATTATTTTTCTGAATATAATAACAGGTTGGACTCTTCCCAAACTCCCATTGCTCCCAATGAGGCAGGAAACCAGCAGACTGCACTGGGTCCCGGAAGGGGTAGGGGCTTGGGAGAAACTAAAAGTCTTAGGCAAGCAGCTGAGAACTCACAGTTTAACCAGCATCAGAATGTTCTCTTCTCCCTCCGAGGGGCTCTTTCACAGGAAGCTGAAATTATGGCAATCTGCCAAGCCAAGAGGTCAGCCCAGACTCTTTGGAACAATAAAAATAAAATCACCAACTCTTCCCAGAGCCCCATCCCTGAAACTCCCACTTGGGCAACATCAGCCCAGCCCCTATTCAGCCCTTGAACCCCATCGCTTCTCAACATCCCATACAGTCTTCCAACCCACCACTTACTCTGCCATGATAATTTTCCCCCTTAATTCTCACGAGCTCTTAGTAGAGAAAGGGAAAATAAACATACAAAAGAATGAACTGCTTTGGTAGAAAAATGGTAAGCCCAGTCTGCTGGTGCTGAGTTGGAGTTGTCTGTTGGACATCCAGGTGAAGATATTTAGTAATCGATTAGATATATGAGTCAAGCTCAGAAGAGTCTGGCTAGGAATGAAGATTCGCTGTCATAACTTCATGAAAATTTTTGTTTTATGTCTATAATTTAGTTCCATTCCATGAGGTTTCAGACATGGGTAGGAACTGCTAGGAGAGGAATAATTGATTCCATTTTCTTCTGGCTGGAATATGTGGCCTCCAGCAAGCTACTGGACTTTAGGCTGTGCCTGTTGCCTCATGGGAAAGAAGACAGTTAAGGAGACCTGGGGGGGGGGGGGGAGTTGCAAAGATTGGCTCTAAAAAAATTAATATAGTCCTGTCTTTCATGATTCTTCTGTGGAATGTGAAAGCCATGCCAGTGAGGCCAACCTCTTCTGCCTCCCAAAACTAGGCTTTTGAGGGCCACCAAGGACTGCATAAAGAGAAAAGTCTTTCCCTTCATTGCATTGGAACCCTTACCCCTGAAGAATTGTCTTTAGGTAAAGATGTTATTTCCGCCCTAACTGGTTTGGCTCGGTGGATAGAGCATCGGCTTGTGAACTGAAGGGTCCCAGGTTTGATTCCAGTCAAGGGGATGTGTCTTGGTTGCCAGCACATCCTCAGTGGAAGGTGGGCAGGAGGCAGCTGATCGATGTTTCTCTCCCATCGATGTTTCTACAATAGCTCTCTATTCCTCTCCCTTCCTCTCTGTAAAAATCAATAATATATATATATATATATATATATTTTTTTTTTAAAGATGTTATTTCCTTGCTACAACAAACACATGTGTGTTCTTTCCTCCACTTTCAGGAGGTGGTCTTATGTTAGTGGCCCCTTGCCATTGGGATGGCAGTTGTTCCTGTTCAGCCCCGCCTGTAGGACCCACCTTGAGAGTGCTCTCCTATAGAGTTTACTTGCAATGCTGTCTGCATTGTGGAGTTTAGACTAAGATCGGCTTTGCTTAAGGGTCCCAGCTAAAATAGCATTTTTACAAAGCAACTCATTGTGCTTTTCTGGCTAATTTGTTTTAAGTGATTTCCACTGAAATGAAACATATTTTAATTCAAAGTTTCCTGACAATGATGGCACTTGGGAGTTACATGATGAGCTCATGGTTGAACCTCTTTTATTCCAAATGTCTATTCACAAAGGCTAAATGGGAATTGCTTATGGAACGCAGGCATTTCTGACAAATCAGGAAGAATTGCTATTTAACCAAACTGCTCTGGCAACCAGGTGTGAACAGAGCAAAGATTTAGCAAGGGCACTAGTCATGTGTAGAGAATGGAGGGTCCCATTTCTAATTCAAAGGACTGTGTGGGAAACTCATCATTGAACTTGAATATCAACCAACCAGTGTTTACAAAGAAGGCAATATCACAATAGCACCCAGGGAAATTTAAATGATGCATAATGGAAAAATTCACAGAAAAGACCAAAAACCATTCATTCCATCCAACATGCTGAATTAGATGCTGCACTAAGCCCAAAGCTGGCATTGTGTTCAATGCAAAGGGCCTTAGGATGTTTGTTTCTTGTTTTAAAGCAAAGATACTGCATTATTTGGGATAATGGTATTAAATCGACTCCCTAATTTAAAAAAAAAAAAACAAAAAAAAAACCACTAAATAATTTATAGTCTCTGCCATACTGGCCACATATTAGTTACATAGCGCTACAACCTCCCTAGTCTGATATTTTAATTTCTATAAAAGTAAATTAAGTTTGGTGATCAGGTTCAGGATGCAGCCAGGGGCTAGCTTCTTCTTCGAAGAAGCAGCAGGCTGTAACCAAATCCTTTGGACGCTCCCCGGTAATCTACAACGCTTATCTAATCTGTTGGAAATGCACCTTGAGTAGAACTGTCTGTGGGTGACTTAATGTTTCTTTCATTGCCAGGTAGGAGATCAAATCATTGAGATCAATGGGGAGAGCACAAGGGACATGACACACGCCAGAGCAATAGAACTCATCAAATCCGGAGGAAGAAGAGTGAGGCTGCTGCTGAAGCGCGGGACGGGGCAGGTCCCAGAGTATGGTGCGTCTCACGTTTTCATTCACCGTTTCTCTGTTTCTCTCATGACCTGTAAATGCCTGAGCTTATTTATAAGACGATGTCAGTTATTTAATTCTACCTAAATATATATTTAGCTATCACTATACACATGTATACAGTTAAGCACAGGATATATACGTGTGTGTGCTCTTTCTGTTGCTCCTATAGTTGAGTAATGTTTGAAATAGCAAATATGGAACCTTTCAGGGCATCTCTGAGTGTGCTGGGAGATCCAGACGTCACTATGATACTAGAACCTTCATAATTTGACTGATAGTCTTCTGTTCATTTGAGTCCGCAGTAATGTATCAATTATTTCCTAAAATTGCTTGTGCATCACACTGTCCCATAGGATATATTGTATAACTGGGGCCAGTGGGGGAAAGCAAGAACAAATCTTCAGGGTGTGAAAATGAAAATGTAAACTTCAGTTCATGCAGTGATTACATTTCCTTAGCATTTAGGGATATTCAGAAAATTCACATTCATGTTGTGTGTCTACATGTTTTTGAGGAAGGCTTTAAAGTGCATTTTAATGCATAGATTTTCTTCCAGAGTCTTTAATGGTGTTACTTCCAAGGAGCCCACTTAAAGCACCACTGACAGCATTACTAAGGAATGGCCAGGGGGTCATTACATAACCTGAGCTGTTCTTTAAATAATGTCAAGAATAACAGACAGACAGGGAGATAGATAGGTATCAGCAAAGAGCAGTGTAGATAACGCCCTTCCAGGTTATGGGAAAAGGATCTACTAATAACTAGCTGACCTGTACAAGTAGTTCAAACTGATGATCTGGATAAATTGACTCTCATTTTCACTCCTCCAACCCTTACCTTCCTCCACTCCAAACATTCTAAATAGTACTTTTTCCTGTCAATTTTTTCTTTTTTCTTTTTTTTTCTTTTTTGCCTAAGTTACTTTATTTATTATTTAGGAGGTTAGTATAGTCCTGAGTTCAGTTGAAATATCTGTATTCAGAAGCCCTTAAATACTGTTTCTAGGTTCTTGATACTCCTACAAAGCCTACAGAGAAGGGCAGCAAGCCCTCACATCAAGAGTGGGAAAGGATTCAGAACTTTCTGGAGGGCTGGCTCTGTGTCTAAGGATATATTTCATCCCAACTTGCAACTCTTAATGTTTGGATATAATAAAATATTTTAAATATTAATATTAGCAATAAGCACAGGCCTGATCCTATTAGACGAATCTGGCATTAGTCCCTTCATGGAAAGAAGCTGAACACTTGGAATACAATAGCTTTTGGCACCCTGGAGCATTACGTGATTCGGAAATATCAAACTGACCTGTGAGACTCCATCACTTCTAAAAATACCTGATTGTAAAGGAATGTTTCACTCCATTGCAAGAACTGACTATTATCTATACCAAGGAATTTTCATAGAGTTAATATTGCTCCTGTTGTTCTAACATGTTAGTCTTTTTTTTTCTTTTTTTTTTTAAATATATTTTATTGATTTTTTACAGAGAGGAAAGGAGAGAGATAGAGAGCTAGAAATGTCGATGAGAGAGAAACATTGACCAGCTGCCTCTTGCACACCCCCTGCTGGGGATGTGCCCACAACCCAGGTACATGCCCTTGCCCGGAATCGAACCTGGGACCTTTCAGTCCGCAGACCGACGCTCTACCACTGAGCCAAACTGGTTTCGGCCAGGTTAGTCTTTTAAATGTTAGTCTGAACAACATGGCTGTCCTGGGCTTCCTTTTCTCTCGTCCAATCACTGTTTGGTCCACACTTGCACGGTCTGCCATGCCAGCTGCTTGTCTGCAGTGGTCAGATAGGACAGTACTGCTGAGCCGCCTGTGGCATAACCTGTAATGCATAAGCATGAACTGCCTCAACACATCTTTAAGAAAAAATAAAAACACGTTTTTGAACAAGACAAAAATTCAAGATCATGTCAACATTATCCCATTAATTCTTAAATATTACCCAAAAATATCTAATTAAGGTTAAGATCTAAAATTAACCAACACAGAGAGTTTGTTAAATACCTGAGCACACTTTCGAAGGGTGAAAACTCTTGCAATATTGCAAAATTTCGTCTGAATATATTTGAAAATGTAACATTAAATCGTACTTGCTGGTAATGAGAGCTCATCAGCTACTTTTGATGGTAGATTGGCATGGATTGTGACTGAAAAATAACTTAGCAATTATGCCTCAAAAAGACGAAATTTAATAGAGTGGGGCAATTTCCTTTAGGGAAGTAAAAGAATAATCATAAACCAAGTAAACATTAGTTCTTCAGGAAACTCTAAGCTAAAAGATGCATGGTTATGCATGAGAAACCAAGAGGGTTAAGGATCAGGTGAGCATCTTTGAGGATAATGCCATCACATGGTATCTCTGGAAGGTCATAGTGACAGTGAGGAGGGTGTTTCAGAGGTCCCCAAGACCACTCCACATTCAGAGATTTGCTAAAAGGAAATCTGGGCTCCTGGGGCACAGAATATACTTGTCCTAGTAATAACAAGATTAATTACAGTGCTGTAGAAAGGATACACAGTAGGATCATAATGGGGGAGGGGGGGAGATACAGGCTGACACTGGAAGAATCCACATGCAAGTTTCTTATTCTCTGTCTATTTATCTTCCCCCACTCCCCCCACTCCTCTCCCTTCACCCCAAGAGGGGTCACCAGAGAGCACTCTTCCCCCAGAAACAAAAATTCAGCAACAGATGTGTGATGTTGCTACCAGGGAAGCTCATTTGAGACTTGGCACCCAAGATTTGTACCGGGGGCTGATCATGCTGACACTCTGCCTAACGCATACCAAAATTCCAGGGTCAGCCCTGCCAAGTAGCTCTGTTGGTTAGCATGTGGGATCAATCCCTGGTCAGGGCACATACAAGAATCAACCAATAAATGCATAGATAAGTGGAACAACAAATCAATGTCTCTCTCCCCCTCTCCCCTTCTCTCTCTCTCTCTCTCTCTCTCTCTCTCTCTCTCTCTCTCTCTCTCTCTCTCTTTCTCTCTCTCTCTCTCTCTCTCTCTCTCTCTCTCTCTCTCTCTCTTTTTCCCTCCCCCTCTCTCAAAATCAATAATAATAAAATGATTCCAGTCTCCCCTAATGAAAGCAGGTGCTCAGCATAAACCACATTGTTTGTGCAAATAGCTGGGGTACAGTGACACACCCTTACCTTTAGGGAAAGGTTTCTGTTAGAGGACAATTGGCCAGTCCTAGTCCTGGATGCCACCAAGGACCAGTTTTGCAAGCAGACATTTGAGAATAGCAGTCACAAGCCTGCTATTCAAATTCCTTCCTGCACCAAGAGCAAGCCATAGTATGCCCACATCCATGGCTGTGCAAATGACCCCAATATAAGAATAGTGCCCACAGCCAAAGAACATCATAATCCCTCCAGCATCAGTTAAGCAGATTCTACCATGAAACAGAAGTTTCTGTCCAAGATAAACTAGAGTGTATTTTAATTAAATTGGCAAGGGGAAGGGGGGACAAAATGAAATAATAGCAACAAGAACAGTGTGCCAGTAAATATAAGCAAGAATATAATCCACTTTGCCTAGATGCACCCTAATCACAGGAAAACTGGTTTTTCTGTCAACTATAAGTTTGGTCCTATGTTTGTTTCTCTTTGCCTTTTTAAGATCCTAAGGTTGGCATAACATCCATCCTTAAAGGATCGTTAAAGAAGGTTATCAGAATCCATAGGAGACATAACCTATTAGCAAGCTATTCAGACTTATCGTAGCTTGGGAGAGTGAACTTTGAAGATGAGGGGCTGAAGAACAAGTCTGTGGAAGGGCTTTAGGTGATGTCACCAGCCCTTCCTCTGACATCCACAGAACACGGAACAGCTGTGAGGCAGGACCCTTATCTGGACTTTGGTCCATGCCAAGGAAAGGCCTATCTCAGTCAAGAGAGTCAAGAGAGATACAAAACTCCCACTCCACATCCTTAAGGTGATCTGTGACAGAGAGATAAGTGCAGAGACAACTGAATGAAAAAAATAGCATGGGTAACCTGTCAGATTGTTGACTAAACAAAACCAGCATGAATCCAAGTGAGCTGAGGAGAGGAATAAGTCTGCTGCAAATAAGCCATCCATAATTACCGCGTGACTAATCGCCAGGTGACACCTCTGCCAGTTCAGAGGCATAAATCAACAAACGCAGCCGCCAGAGTGGTGGCTGCCCACCGAGGCTGCGAGCAGCTGTGAGGGGAATGGGGAGATGATAAGGGCTTTGAAGGAGAAGTTGCTTTTATAGTTAAGTCCTTGAAAGAGAAGCTCAGGAGATAGACACTTCAATTCTACTCTAGTCCTCAGGATAAGAATTTGTTGATTATGAACTCAACAGAGAGTGCAAGCTCTCCCTCCCCTGACACACATCTCAACAACTGGCAGAAATAAGGAACCTTCACTCCACCATACTGAGAAGAAAAAAAAAAATCAGAAGATGCTACACCCAAAGGAGTGCCCTCCTGAACACTGGGTGTTGCTATTTAAATTACATCTAAAATGGTGAAAAGAATGTCTGCATCCTGGTCCTAAGGCTGCAAAGGAGTAAGTTGTACAAATTAGCTCCCTGCCTTGACAGAGAGGTCTCCTTCATCAGCATCTGGGGATTACAACATAACACTCGCTTGATTTATACACCAAGCCACAGAGCCAGGGTCAGGGGCAGGGGGGAGCAGCCATTGGATAGAAAAAATTCTTTACACAAGCTGTTCAGACCCACGCACACTTTCCCTCATAGTACTTGCTGTTCAAATCTGATCAAAATAAAGCAAAACAGAAATCTGTTTCCCAGACTCAGTGGGTGGTCTGGCCTGTTTATTCTCTTGAAAAGCAAGGGGGCAGGTCTTTATGACTAGAACGCTGAAGGGAGTCTGTGAGTAAAAGGGAGTCTCTAGTGGCCTTAGGAGGCCAGCCAGGGTTATAAGGACAAGCGGAATTCTCACAAAATCAATGGCCCAGATACAGCTAACA